CCTGATTTATATAATGCTGAATTAATTAATTTTCAATCGCTATTTGATCTCTTATGATATTACTTTACTTTCTTCCTCTTCCTTGCAAAGAGTGATTAGGCTGTGCCACTAATGAGAAACATTAATTTAATAGTTTTAAAATACATCATTAAACTCATTTCTTGAACACATTAATATTTCTGATTTATTTTGAATTCAAGCACCAGCCCTTCTGCTTTAAGCAATGAAAACGCCACTCTGCATTTCTGATGCTAACAGCTGATGGTGTGTAGGGGCATCTGCCTTCCCAGCCCTGTGACTCTCTATTGAAGTGCAGAAATTGCTAAATTCGGAGACTGACTCTTTCTTCCATGCCCAATAGCCACGATGACCAATAGAGCAGATAACAGGAAAATTCCTAATGCAGCCCTCAATATTCCTCATCCTACAGCATACTCTATATTTCAACTGCAGATCAATATAATCACTATGGTTAGACCTCTCAGTACGCCAAGCATTTCATTAATTCCTAGGAAGAACAATTCTGCCAACACACTGCAGCCAAGGAGCTCCCCCATGGTTTTAAGTATTGCCAAGCAAAGTATTTGCCCTGTACCAGATCTCTGAAGCCAGTGCTGTGTCTGTTGAGAGATGATTTGCTTTTATGACCATAGAAAGGGAGAGATAAAACCATTTTACAATAAGGGCGGGGATTTATTTAACTTATCTTTCTGCTAAGTCACTGTGATACATCTTGATGTAATACACTGCTGTGTGCCATTAAAAAGAAGAATCTGAAGGGGAAAAAAAAGCAGAAAAGCAAAATCATATTTCTTCTAGGTTTTGACTAACCTCTTCTGGTGTTTCCTATTTCATCTAATTTTGGTATTACCAACAAAACAATGAAGAGTATAGTTGTCAGCACCTCAAACACAATGGTCTTCAGAAGGCAAGGCATTCCTGTCTGTCTTTTTTCTTCTTATCATCTGTGAATAATGCAAAAGGGGAGAAAAAAAAAAAAAAAAAAGTGCTACCCTTGGAATCACACATAACTAAAAGAGCAGAATAAATGAAATCAAAAATTATTTTAACTGATGAGGATGCCAGCCCTAAGACAAATGATGTTGAACACGGCTGTTTCATCAATTACAGGGAAGTTTCAGGGGTTTCCAGGTTTGTATTGTATCAGTGGTTCTGCACAGTTCATTGCTTTCAGATGTGCTCACTTCAGATTGTTTGACCGCAGCTGGAATTCATTTGGTGATGGATTGCATTGAGAAATGTAAGGAGGCATTTAATAGCAATCGCCTCAGATCGCTTTGCTTGTGCAGTCAAACAGAAACATATTACTCTGCTAGGGTAAAGCAACAATGGATTTAGGCAATAGGGCATAGATACATGTGTGTATGACAGTGACCAGTATCTCTGAGCTACCCATCCTTTCCTTTACTGCTATGGAAATGAGAATGGAGACCAACCGGTATGTATCAATCAACTAAAGAAATCCAAGAACAAGAAATAAAAACAGGCACTACCTCATTAGTAGTGAAATCAGATGCCAACATATCTGAAGTTGAGCATAGGTCTTACTGCTGAACAAAGCATAGTGGATGGAGTAAATACAAGTTAGAAAAAACAGGCTCACTTCTGACCCAATTGCACTGATTTTACACTAAAAACACCCTCCAGGTATCTCCATCTCAAGATAAAAGGTGTGAATTTAACACAACCTTAGGAACATGACAAAATTCAAACACATTCAGTGCACATTTAAATCCGTTGCTGAATAAATAAGTACTGCAGCTCATGCTTGAGTTAGTGCACTTCACTAATTGGTCATGTCGAATGGTCTTGTGCCGTATTTTGCTCTTTATCTACTGCAGTAGGTGGTGAGACTATCCACATAAATGCCTTCCTACCACTCAGTCCTCAACACAAAACAGGGGGTTATCACACTGTGCTGGACTCAGTAAGGTAAGAGGAAGGTTCTGTGCTTTTATACACCAGTTAAAAAAATGATTGACATTCAACTTCCTTGCAAAGCTTTGCCCCTTTGTAGAAACAAAAGGGCCTTTTCTCTTCCTTTCCCCCATTCCCTCTCCTGTTTTAGAAGTGTTTAGAAGCGTTTTAGAAGTGCTTTTTAAGCAGGGAAGATCAGCTTCCACACATGCATCCAGCTCCTGCTGTCATGATGCCCATCTCCCAGATGCAATACAACAACAACAAGCAGAATGAAACTTCTTTCCAAGATCAAGCCCCGTGAGAGTGGTGCATTGTGTTCTTTTTTTTTATTGCAGATTAATTTATTGGTGAACAATAAGGGTTATAAAAGCAGTCATCTCAAGGTTAACGTGCTACTCAAAAACCCAACAGTCAAGCAGAGTGAATAATTCATAACTAATTGCTTATTTAATTGCACACTCTTTGTACATGATGCAAATGTAATATTCCTGGAGGCTTCAGATTCCCCCCCTCTTTTCAGCAAGCCATAAAACTTCTATATCTACTCTGTAACACATGTGCTTCGCTGTTTCACTGTATCAAGCAAGGGATATTTCCATTTCCCAAATAGCTTGCTTCCAAAAACATTAATCGTAGCATCATAACAACAACAACCCAGTGAAAACTTTGTATAATCCATTTATAAACATTGGCCGTATTTTCTTCTCTTTGTTGGTGAAATAATTGGAATCAAACATGGGGCTTCTGAAGGAAAGAGACCCACACTGAAGATCTGCAGTGAAGGAAACAAGAAGAGATTCTTATGTTTTATCCTGCGTGGTCTTGTACAAATAATGCTGACAAGTAGTCCCAGCTCCCCAAAACTGAAGCACGGGGCAGCATGCCACAAGCCAAATTATAAGCCCAGTTTCAATGATTCCCCTACTCATTGCCTTTTCCTTCATTTTTCTTTTTTTTGTTTTAATATCAAAACAAAGTTTTGCTTCATTATAATTCAAACACACATTTACCTTTGAAACTTTGATTTATTTACTCTTTATCTATAGGAACATAAAGGAATATCAACATGATAATATCATTTAATTTTTCTGAAAAAAATGACTATGAAATATCCAATTTGTGGACTTAAATACTTCATACTGACTTATATTTCTTACATACTTTAAGTCCCTAAACTGGATATGCCATTATTCTTAATCTACTATAGGTAGATACTAAAGGTATATGTAGTGTAAATAAAAACTATAAAAAGTATACTATACTTTAAAGTAGAGATTATAGTCCTAAGCATCCTTTGTGCAGGTACTGCTCTAAAATGTATTAGCTCACACTACAATCTTGTATCACTATTTATAGTTTCCAGTAGCAGGAAAGTCTGAGCTGAGGGCAAAACCCTTTTGGAGCTCTTCCAGGTTCTTTCTGACACATTTTGGGTTCCTCTTTTCCACTGTCTGGAATATATTTTCTTCCTTTTCAGACTATCCCAATTAAAATCAGAGCCTGAATCTTCCACACTGGCTGACAAACTTCAAGCACAGTGCTTAAAGTTTAAAATGAATTCTGTATTCACCTGTTGATATGGGTTCTGAGGAAGATGTAGGAGCACATTATCACCTGCTGTCCATAGGTCATCAGTATACCCCCTCATGTCCAATGCAGCTGTTACTATCACCTGCCCGAGTAAAACACATTTCTATCCCAATTTACCTAATTGCAAATGAAATGTGCTGTTCCACTGCACCAGCATCAGACATCAGTTTGTCAGAACAGACACAACTTTGCCACTATTTCTAGCTCAAAACATCCATTCCTTTACTCTTCTTTCTCCGTGCCCTTTTCTAAACTGACCTCTAGCAGACAAAAATATCACCCCCACATCTGGATGATACCCACAAGTGCTCGCAGAGCAATGACATTTTACCATTAGCCAGCACATGCATTTTGCTGCCTACATGCAGCAGAAGAGAGGGGTGGTGATATATAAAGATTCTAATTCTATTCATACTGACATTTACTGTGGAATTCCAGCAAGAGAAAACCTCTCATTTTCAAGTCCTTCTCACAGACAAGTGGTCTAGAAAATGAGGTAGAAGTTTTAAACCCCTGCAAGGAATTTGCAAAACCAAGTGACTTGCTACATGAAAATACCAGCATGTTTTAATTAGTCAAAATAAGACATTTTAAAAGTCTCCAAATTAAAGTCTTGGAAAGAAAGTGGCTTTTCATGCTAAAGGTTAGTCATTAGGAATATGTAGGCTTGGATTCTTAATGTATTTTTTAAGTGAAGTCTAGCCACCAGCATTACAAGACCCCAGTTCAGATAAAAAAGAATTGGACAATTCTGCCTACACACATCTGTAAGGAGCTTTTTGGTGCAGGAGCCCATCAAGTCATGGCAGTCAGCAGTGTCCACACAAAGGGTCCCACAGGTGGAAATTAGAGAAACAGTTTCTTCTGACAACAGGGGTACAGGAAATAATCTGTGGTTACAGCTTGCAAAACAAAAAGCAATTCTTTCCATTGCTGAATATAGTCATTTACTCACTGTATTCTGCCCACTCTGCAGCACAGTGCAGGAATCAAATCAAGGTAACTTCTGCAGGACTGGAAGGTTTGGAACAAGCTGGTTGGCCACCCATGGGAGCAAATCCCAGCTTTTAGTGGATGACCTTTCAACCAGCAAGGCACTCCAGTCTGATAAACACCCAAGTCTGGTGACATCCCATCCAGGTGACAAGTTTTTTACTCTAAGTATTTTAAAGATGCTTGCTATGGGAAAGATATTGCCCTGAGAGTACCTTTGTCTCCATAAGTCTCCAAACTGGCCAGCCACTGGACAGAAGGCTACTGAGCAAAGCTTTAAGGCCTACAGCTCAAAACACAGCCCATTCTGTATGAAATATCAGTACTAAAGGCAAAAAAATGTGTTTAAGTATTGCAGATAAATCCATAGATTCACCTTCTTTGTAAAGCTATTTGAATAGCTCTCAGTTTATCAAGGTGCATCAGCAAGCGTTCAAGCCCATTTCTATATAAACTATCAGTTAAATGTGAAGTAGTGAGCGTGTTTTTCAAGTCCCAGAAGTTGTTAGGCTCAATCCTCAGTATAAAATCAGTAAGGTGCTTCATTAAATCAGGAAAAATCTCATTTCTCTGGATTCCATCATGCACACTCATGAGGATGCATTTTGCTCTCACCACCAGAGATCGATTCAGTAACTGCAAAATCAGGTGATAGACATGATTTTGTCAGGAGCTTCCAATAGTATTTCCTTTAACTTATTCCAGTAGCTCATGTTATGGAGACCCTCCTAACAAAGGAAAAGAATTGATTTCAGCAGGGTACCAAAGAACTTAGGCTCATCCAGATGCAGTCTCTTGGCTTGAATCCATCCAGCCTAGTTGATCACAATGCTTTAATAGCAAAAAGTCCATTTCAGTTCTTCTGCTCCAACCACAGACCTCCTCTCTTGGCAGAAGACACTCCCTGAAGCCATTACTCCATCCTCTACTTCTTAAGTGATATGATTCCCAAAGAAAACTGGAGAAGCAATTCAAGATTAAAACATCATATTATTTTTTTTACCCTAAGAAATGAAGATGTTCAAGTCACTACCTGCCTCTTGGCAGTAATTTGCATGTCAATGGATTATGTGGGGTTTTAATATGTAATTGTTTTGTAATTCAAAATGAACTGTTGCCATAGCAATCCCTACACACTGTGTAAGATGTATTGTTAGTGAAGTGTCTCAAAGAAAAAGCTTACCCAGACATGCATTGACAGCTTCAATAGACTCCGTAAGCCAACCCATACATCTTGAGGTCTGAGACATTTCAAAACCAGAGAGATTCAGAGAGAGGGAAGTCAAAAGAACAGACCACTAATATTGGCCATTTTTTTATTCCTTCTTTTACAGCAAAACTCTCATACAACTGATGTACATTGCGAATTATTTCCTAGTAGAGGAGCATTCTGGTTTTAGGATTTTTCTATTCCTATTTATTTTTTAAACAGCTTGAATTGTGTAGTTACATGAAGAGAATTTGTTACAAATGACAGCTTTTTTAATCTTCAGGAGAAGAAAGTTCTTTTGTCAGCTGATTAGCAGTGGCTAATCAGTTCATTTTCTAACTGCCACAGATTTTCTCCTTGACCATCACTTAAAATAATAGATAATTAGTCTTTAGCATTTGTTTTCTCTTTTTTTTATTTAACATTTCTTACCAAGGGCCATGATGTAAACCTCAACGTGAAACAGTCCTAGAGCTAATCACAGTAAGTAAAAGGATGCGCTAAGAGCAAACATCAATGTTTGTCAGCAACAAATTGCACCTGGAAAGAAAATATACTATTGTGAAATTCAATGGCTAGGGATCACCAAGTCGTGACATCTGTGTTTGGGTCAGACAGCCCTGGTTACTATTCTGATTTGTGGTTTCTTTACTTTCTTCTAGCTGCAAGAGCAACGAGAACAAGGCAGAAATCCCTTTCTGAGCATCATGGCAGCTGGGCACACATGTAGAAGTGCTTGCACGGATGTGCAGTGATAGTATTTGCACAATCATTCTACATTAATTAAAAGCTCTGTCCAAAAACAGAGCTAATGAAGTTCACCATAGGACATGCAAGTCAATTATATCCAATATTAACTGGAGTTCCAAACTGACAGGACACAGCAGTTCATTGAGAAAGTTTATATACTGAAGCATGAGCCTGTGCCAAACTATGTTCTTCACATTGGAAAGGAAATGTGTGAACTAAACTCTCCTGAGATCGCAGACTTCTGGTAAAATGGTGTTTTCCCTAGATCCTCTGCTGTCCAGAGCAATAAGAAGTTGCCAGAAGAACCAACACAAACCTCAAACATCTCAACAGCATTTCTTAGACTGAACAGATAAAAAGGAGCTGCTGATGTCTTATCAGCTAGACTACTTATAATTTTGAGACTATTTATTTCAACATTTTAAAAGGCATTTAATGCTTACCTTGATCTAAATAGATTACAATAAGCAAACAAACATTGCCCTATTTTTACTGAAGAGTTGTCCACATTCTCTCTTTCAATTCTCTTCTATTTCTACAATTAGAAGTTCTACCAACCTGTAGTCAAAGCCCTTTAGATTTCTTTGCTGAACTACAATAGTATTGGTTTATACCTCCCAACTCCCAGTGCGACATATATATCAAGCTACTCTTTCAACTCCTGCATTTCCAAACATTTTAAACACCTTAATGGCTTTTCTCGCTGAACCATAAAAATTATTTATAAATTCATTTTAGGACATTCATGCAACAAGAAACTCATAACTTATCATGAAACACAAATTATGTTTACTGGAGTACAAAAAATTATTTGGGTCTATGTATATGCAACGAAGAAAAAAGCCAACTGCTTCTCAAAGTGGTCTCTTATTACAGGCAATCACAATCAACACCTGCAAGGTGAGGAGGTAATGAGTTATTTGTTCCAGAGTAATTTTTTAAACAAACAACCTGACAGGAAAGAACAGTATCTTCTTAATTTGACTACTTAATTTGAATTAAGTACATTTGGTGAGTTACAGAAGGATCGTGGCACTTCATCCAGTATTTTTCACATCTAAGTAGCTGCAGCATCTGCTTTTCTCTAAGGTTAATACTAACACCATGGGCTATTAATCTTAGTTATTTCTCCACAACTGAGCAATACTCCACAATCACCCCAACGCTGACGTTTCAGGGGAAATGTTTTTTTTATCAAGATTCATATGTTATCTGGGCTCCAGGAGAAGGAGAAGTTAGTTTTTACATAACTAATGATATGTGAAGCGCTGACAGCTGGTAGTCATTTTGGAAACATTCAGCTGTTGGAGGCATAACTGTATGAACACAAATGCATTCAATCAGATGCATAAGAGTACAAAACACCAAATCTAAAATTTAAAACTGAATTCAGATTCCCCAAAACAACCAGCAGTTTTGACCTTCTACTCCCAAGAGTCACGTGCCATGCTTGCTTCACAGGGATCATAGTGGGTCATACCTCAGCCATGGAACTTGAGAGTTAGAAGACATCTCTCTCCAGTTGTCTCTGGTTCTCTGGCTCCCGTTTGCCCTTGTCAGGAGGCTTACTATTGTAGCTCATCTTGTAGCACTATATAGTACAGTGAGGAAAAAAAAAGGCTGGGAGTTATTAGCCGAGAACTTTTGGATACCCTTTTAGACACAGCTGGTCACCTTTAGGACAACACCTCAGCCCTTTTGGCCATTCTCAAAATGCTGACCCTCTGCCACACCTTCTCCTTCCCTCTTAGTAAAGAGCACAGGGATTTCTCTCAAAGAACCATTAAAGGATGATAATGACAGAGGGCACATCATCTTTTTAGCACTGATGGAGTGGGGTTCTCTTCTCTGTTGCAAGTGGGTCATAACATCCTTTTTGAGTTTAGTATAAAGTATTTCAACACAAAGCACAATCTGCCAGATCTATAATGTAGATTTTTAGTAAGAACCTTTGTGCAAGAAAAAGGACATAAACCACCTGCCTTTGAATTCAGATAGAAACACTGATGATCTAAATCATCCAACCCAGGTATATAAATGAAAGGCAACAACCAGACCAGGGACTGATCCCTGGAGAACTCCTTTATGATTCACTGTGGAAGATGAAAAGCTGTCTATGTAAACAAATTGTTTATGGTCTGTTAAGCGAAAGTAAAACCAATGGAGTGCAGCAGATGCAATTCCAGCTGAGGATTCAATCTTACAAAAGTGCATGGGTCTGACCCTGCAGCCCTTTTTCATAAGAACTGCTTCCCTGCAGACACTCAAACAAGCAAGGACTGCAGTACTTGCCATCTGTGCCCGATTGGTCTCCAAAGAGTCAAAGCTTGAAGCAATGCTTTGTGTTCTGCCATCTGAAGGAAGGCAGAGAAGCTGCAGCCAAAGGCAAGCTCTGGGAGTACAACAGCATCACTCAATTCCTGCATTGCCACCATGATCACCCAGAGAAACCTTACTCTTCCAGGGGGCTTTACTGTTCCTTGTTCCAGTAAATTATAGAATCATAGAATCCCTAGAGTTGGAAGGGATCTTTAAAAGTCATCTGGTCCAACTCCCCCGCAATAAACAGGGACACGCATGGCTAGACCACATTGCCCATGTTCTGACCCAGCCTTACTTTGAAAGTCTCCAGGGATAGGACATCCACCACATCTCTGTTCAACCTGTTCCAATGCCTCACCACTCTCACTGTAAAAGACTTTTTACACAGAGTCACAGAATCACAGAATTGCCCAGGTTGGAAGGGACATCAAGGATCATGAATTTCCAACCCCCTGCCACATGCAGGGCCACCAACCTCCACATTTCATACCAGCCCAGGCTGCCCAGGGCCCCAACTAACCTGGCCTTGAACACCTCCAGGGATGGACGGGGCATCACAGCCTCTCTGGGCAGCTGTTCCAACACCTCACCACTTACATAGCAAAGAACTTCCCCCTGACATCCAACCTCAATCTGCCCTCCCTCCATTCAAACCATTTCCCCTCGTCCTGCTGCCATCTCCCCTTGCACAGAGCTGACTCCACTCCTGCCTGCAGGCTCCCTTCAGGCACTGCAGGCTGCACTGAGGTCACCCCGCAGCCTTCTTTTCTCCATGCTGAACAAGCCCAGCTCCCTCAGCCTTGTCTTCGTGGTGGAGGTGCTGCAGCCCCTGCTCATCTTTGTGGCTCCTCTGGACCCTCTCCAACAGCTCCCTGTCTTTCTTGTCCTGGGGGCTCCAGCCCTGGACGCAGTGCTGCAGATGGGGTCTCACAAGAGCAGAGCAGAAGGGGGACAATCACTTCCCTGTCCCTGCTGGCCACCCCTGTTCTGATGGAGCCCAGGATCCCATTTGCTTTCCGAGCTGTAATCGCACACTGCTGGCTCATGTTCAGTTTTTCATCCTCCAGGACCCCCAGCTCCTTCTCTGCAGGGCTGCTGTCAAGCACAGCTCCTTCCAGTCTGTATGGATGCCTGGGATTCCTCCAACCCAAGTGCAAAACTCTGCACTTTGCCATGTTGAACCTCATTAGGTTCACCCGTTCCCACCTTTTCAAGCCTGTTGAGGTCCCTCTGAATGGCATCCCTTCCTTCCACTTTTTCCTTCTATCCAACCTAAATCTGCCCTCTTTAAGCTTGAAAGTTAAGAGCAATCTCTTTGTTTTCTGATGGATGTTGGAGCATGTACACAGAGGACTATAAAGATGGTAGACATTCAGACTGCAATTCTGCTGAGCAACCTCATAGTTTTCCTTGTCCTTTACTCCACTCCACCAAAATGACCTCACTGGGATTCTCAGTGAAGGACCTAGAAGGATATGTTCTCTAACCTGAGCACAATTTGTTTTCCAATGATCTTACAGTGACAGATGCATTTTAACAGCATTAAACATCCTTATGCTCTTCTAAATCAACCTTGCCTGACTTTCACCATTTCACCCTGCCATTTCCTGTTTATTTCCAGACATCATCACACTCAACCTCAGATTTCTTCATTAACCCAAGGAGCTGGTATTTCCCAGGATTGCGTGACAGCTGCACCACGCTGAGCGGAGGCAATAAAACATCTGCATGCTCAGTGTACTCATCTGGGCAGACAGGAGCAATGGGGATTCAGCTAATAATCCTGATGTTCTTCCACGCTCACCTGGCCTCCCTTATGGCATCCTTTAGGGCATTATACCTCACACCACTTTTTCACTTTGGTTTTAAAACTAACAACCCTTTGACGTTTCCAGGCTCTTGATAATGGGTACTCTTCTTAGACAGCAAGAAAGAATAAACCCTGCCCAGCAGAGCCCTGGGGAAGGGATTTATGATTGCGTAACAAATTTACAGGTAAAATAAGGTATTTCAAATCCATTCTTATACTCATCATTTGAGTTTTAGGGTTTGTAACCACCCCACGGGTCCTAATAAAAACCAGCCTCTGCAGACCTGTACCACAAGAAATACCAACTCTCCTAACAGAATATGGATAAGTAAGTGTCTGGCACTGGGAAACATTCAAAAATCCAATTGAGCATGAAATATGGGATGCTGGAAATAGAAACAGATAAACGGTATTAAGTAGTAAATAAGTGAGACAAGGCATGCATTGTTCAAATGCGGCCTCTGAGCTAGGGAGAGCCTGCTCTACACAGATAATTGTCTTTAAGAGAAAAGTGGAAAAGATTATGAAATCTGTAGTATTTTTGTACTTGTCTGAGATGCACACAAATCAGTTATTCTAATTACTTCTGAAGGGGACGACATTTGTCTCATTACTAAATTAGTGCCAACAGCAGATAAGGAAGATGCAATGCCAAACCAGCTCTTAATTCTCAGATGCATTGTCTGAATGTCCATATCTCCAGAAGGCAAAAAAAAAAAAGTCATAATCACAGGACAAATCTGATCTTAACAAGCAGAAAATCATAGGAACTTCCCACATCTGTTTTCCTCTTATTAGATTAGCGGTGGTGTCACATTTGATGTCATGCCACTATACACTGATCTTCAGCAACTTAAAAAAATCACTGAAGCTTTCGGAAGGAAGCTTTTGGAAGCTGCTTTTCTTGGCAAGGAACACATATACACAAATTGTATAAGCAGAGATATCTAAGAAGTGCGTGACTAGGAATATGGGGAAGCCCAGTTGCAAGTATCTCCAAATAGCATCCAGCAGCCCTCAAAGTTTCTTTGACACTTGAAAGCATTTGTCTTAAAAATGAATTTTAAAACCAAATTTTTGCATGTTAGCCACATGTGGAAGTAATGCAGAAAGGAAACATCCCAGAATCCAGCAAGATCTATTGTGCAATTATTCATATAAGTGGGTGAGCTGTAAAACTCAATTTCCTCCATTGGTGTAACCAAACAGCCCTTCAAGTACCTGGCTACAATGGTATCTCATGTGAAGCCTGCAATTTAGAAATGAAAGAGCTCAACTCCTGAAAGATATTCTGCAGCAGCAGCAGAATTTGAACACTTCTCAACATCACACATCTGCGCAACCTCACCTGCTGAGCTCAACCACATGTTTGCAGCACCATCTGGGATGAGAAGAATCACTTCTGGGGTTTCATGACGAATTCTCTCTTGGCCTTCCATCAAACATAACCACAGGTCTTTAGGGACCAAGACAGCAATGTTTAGAAATTGGTGCAGGAGATGTGGCTTGAACACACAGCTCTCCTGCACAGGAAGAGGTTTGTAGAACTCACTCAGATGTCCTGGAAGGCTTAACAGAAGGTCATGATTTTGTCTTGGCCATTACAAACTGGTAGAGCAGCCCTTGAAAGGTTTTTGCTACTGGCTGCAAGTAAGGGCAGTTTAACTTGGAGCAAAATGTTGCTTAGTGACTTGAAGTCTGTGAACGTCACACTATTTCTGAAGCTGTAAAAGAGTCTGGGTGATGCTCCAGCAGCTAGGTTCTCATTAATGGAGAGGACTATGTGTACTAGGCAAAATTCCTTACCAACACTCCTCTACACTGATGAGCACCATGTTCTGCCTTGAAAATGTCTATTTTTGCACTTGGACTATTTTATTTCCCTACTGTTGAAATGAAAAATTGGCCAAACCATTTCAGCAGTGCCTGCCACACACTTGCTTTCTCCTGCAAATCCTAAAGCTCTGATTCTCTTCATTAAGTCACTGACCATATAAAGAGAGGCCTCTATGTAAATTATCACCAACAAAGCTAAATGCACAGAAATGATGTAGAAGTTGTACTGTAGCATCACTGAAGTACAAACAGAACTTCCTGAAGAGGAAATACTTCCACATTCACAACCCAGAACTCAACACAAAACAATAATGACCTGAATTCTCAAAGCTTTCTTCTATTAAATGCTGTAACAGGATTCAAAAGCTTTCCAAACTTTATAGATCATGTAAAACGAATAATAGCACAAATAAAATAGCCCACCTCCACTCCACACCAATAAAGCCATCAGCTGTGAGAAGACAAAAACAGAGTTATTAATCACTCCTCCCCACAAAAACGCAAGCCCAGCTGAAGGTCAATCCAATAGTCTGCCAAGCCCAGTTTATCTGGTAGCATGTGCTTAAAGAACAAAGTAATCAGAGACAAGCACACAATGATATGTCACTCATTCTCATGACAGATTTGCAACACATCTTTTCAGAGCTGGAAATACCACCTGAGACAATGCTGAATGGATCCTCCTAGAAGCCCTTTAACCTTTTCTTGAATTAATCTATATTTTGGGTTTCTGCCACACCAAGTTGTAAGAGTCCCACAATTTAATCACTTGTCTTCTTCAGCACTATTTCTACTTTTTAAGCCCACGGCTTTGTAATTTTATCTAGTGTCCCCTCTGCTCCTGGTATTGTGATAAATAAGATTAAACAGTAATAATTGGCTTCTCATGTATTTCTGTTGCTTCCTCTGAAATGAAAAGCCATGCATCCAATCATCCTTGTCATGCACAGGAGCTGGTATGGAAGTATAACCAAGCTGTACCCTTACATGTTCATCTAATATTTATTAATAGAGCCAATTTGAGTGTAAATTCAGGGAGAGGACAGGACAAAGATTCCTATTTTCTTTCCCTTTGCCATAAAGCTTGACACGTCCATGTCATTCATTTTGTCAGAAGAATACAAAGAAGAGTATGGTAGAAGTAGTTCTACGGCTCCAGGAACAGCCCCCTGTATGGCTACCAGTTCGCCAAGCACCAGCTGAGCACTTGTCCAAGATAAGAGCTGCCTCTCATCCTGAACTGAGCAGTTGGAAGTCAGAAGGGAGATTACAGCTGCTGCAATTAATCCAAGTGTAAAAAGATTAACGACAGTTTGTCCACCCTTTATTCTCTTATGACTGACTACAGTTAATGACACTAACACCTTCAACAACATATGGTCTGGGTCCAAAAGCAGCTCAATTGTTCCTACCCCCTCCAAACTCTTCCCTCCCCCCAGAGCACAGGCTTGGACAACATCAGAAATCCCAGGAACAGAAGAGCAGCGTTGGGCAGTTTGGTTGAGGTCCTTCCTTCATTTGCATCCAGATGAGATGCTTTATTTACTGAATATCAGCTTTGCTTCTCCCACACAGAGCTGCATATCCATGATTGGGAAGAACTTCATTTTTTTCCCCCCATCTTGCATAGGAACGCTGGTCATCTTCTTTCATGTTATCTTCAAAATCACATCAGTGGGATAATGGCAGGGACTGCACGGATTCCATAAGACTATAAGGTCTTCAAACAACACAGCTAGGTCTCAGTGGAAAATAAAGAAAAAACAACCTCTTCTATTTGGTGGTGCCTTTCACACCCTTTGCCAAAATGCCCCCTCTGTCCTTTCCCTGAATATCTGCAGTGATGGCAACAAGTGCAACGTACAACATTTCTTGGAGCAGGAAGAGCTTTGTAAACAAATAGCCAGTCTTCAAGTACAAAACAAGCAGATCCGACTTTCAAACATTTGGCAAGGTGCGGGTACATGATGACAGCGTGTTAAATTCATTATTCAACACATTGCAAAGTGTAACGTGTCAGAGTGACAATTTATACCATACTTACCCCCAGTCAAAGGTAGCTACAGAAGCAATACAGCAGAAGAGACATCCAACCTGGATCAGCAAAGAAAGCCACTTATCAGAATTAAACATCTTCATAGCAAAGAGGAATTAAGGAAATAATTAACAATTATTTCCTGGAACAATTTGGGAACAATTTTGGGGGTAAAACCATTGCATTTTTTTTTTTTTCCAGAGAAATTGTCTCTTCTGGAAAAAAAAAAAAAAAACTTGCAATCATTTCCAGTATCCCTGAAGAGTCGTATAAAAGTGGGTTCCCAAATGATATTATACAGCACTTCCCTTTTATTCTTAGTGGTCCAAAGAACCCAGTTGGATTTTCTACTCTTAAGTCTGCTCAGACAAAAATGTAAGTCTTCCAGGCTGGATGTGGCTCTGGGGTGCCTGGTCTGGTGACCCTGCACATAGCAGGAGGGTTGAAACTAGATGATTTTTGAGGCTCTTTTCAAACACAGGCCATTCTACGATTCTATGATTCTTATCTGTGTCCTTGCTGACAGGACCATAACCCAGTACTCTGGAGGTTGGCATAGTTGGATCTACCCAGCTCCACTGCCAGCCTGCAGGCTGACCTGGAGTTGTGGAGGTCTGTCTGGTTTTAAAGTGAGGGTAACACTGATACTCACTGCCAAACTCTTGGAAATGAGTCAAAGTAAAACACATTCCACTAGGTCAGGGACCATTTTTTGGGTTAGTGCTGCAATCAAGCGCAAGATCATTTCATTTCTCTTACTGAAGAATTCTTCCAGCTACAAGCAAGCAAAACATCCTGAAAATACTTAAGGTTTTAAGTTGATAAACAAGAAACCTCTGCTGCAGGCACAAGGGCATAAAGGCAACGACTGCCTTGACAGCCCAGGTAACTCAGCCTTATGGCTGCAGAAGTCGTCAGTGCCAACAAGTGGCAGCACAGGGTTGTTGCTCATGTTTATCATAAATCATTCATTAAAATGGATGTTACCCAACACAAAAAGTATGTTGGGTGTCTGGGTACAATAAGAATTAATTTACCATTCACAAAGCTTCTCATTTAGTTAAATCAGCTGTGTTCCAGCTTCGTTATCGGTGTGTTTCTAATGTATTTCTTCCCTATATTTTTGCAGAGCTGGCTCAAACTGAGCTTTATTTTTTATTATTAATTTAATGTAATTCGTGTGTATTCCTGGGAGTAGGCCATGTGGTAACAATTGCACTGCTACATTGCCATCTCCAGGCAAGATGAAGAACTGTATAAGAAGCTCTCAGAACTGAATACAGATATCTATTCACAGAATTTTTTTCAATTAAAAATCACTTTTTTTGGTATATTAAAATCAGTCTTGGAAACCAGAATGACATTGCATATTATATCTAAGCTGACCAACTCATGTTAGGTAAATGCAATGCTTAGCCAGAGGACTTCCCATTAGAGAAGAATACTGCTGAAACATAGCTAAATTCATGTGCATACATAGGAACCAGACGAGCATTTTTATGTTTAACATGTTTGCTACTTGTTTAAGGGGCCGCCTTCTCTCTCATCTCTAACATAGATGCCAAATTAAAAAATTGGAAATATTAGCAAACATTTCTAGGCAAGAAATTAATAACCACGGAAGAGAAATACAATTACAGAGTGAAGAGAAACATGGTGAACTGATTGCAAATTTTAAGGTCAAAATAGGGTTTCGTTTTCTTGGTCAATTCTTAAGACATACAACCCTTGATAGCAAGTGACAGATTCCTGCCCTTTCTTTTGTTAGGCCAACTGTACCTCTTCACCACTGCCCAGTGGCAAATACTGGAAATCATCAGCAAAACAGATTAAATTGAGGTTACATACAAAGCACTGACACTACACTCCAAAGCAAACAGAAGAGATTCACCACTGAGGACCAATTATAGCAGAACATCAACATGATACGCTCTGCTTCACCAGTGCTTATATGGAACATCAAGAGTCTAGGTGAAACTACAGATTAATTCAGGTATCATTTCCAAACTCATTTCCCATCTTGTGAAAAAATATGTATGCAGCACAGAAACAAACACAGAAAGTTTCATGCTTCCGAGCTTATTCAATGAGATCAGTTGACACGACAGTGTTGTAAAGGCCATCCAAACCTGTTTATTCTGACTAATTTCCATAATCTATTGTGCCTGCATCTGGAAGCATTTGGCTCCATCACTTCCAGAGACAGCTCGTTACTCCAAACTCCTTATTTTTCATTCCTCTTCACTCATGTCTTATTTCCTATTTTCACTCATTCTTTTAACGTCCTCTTCATGTGACTGAACCCTTTGGATCATTCAGGAAAGAATATAGCAGTCCTGAGGGAGTTCAGAGTTACTGTTTCCATAGGGCTAACATCTAACATCCTATCCATAAATACTAACCACTGCAATATTTAAGAAACAAATCAAGGCAAGAGTAGTCTTCATATACCATTAAAAAAAAAAAAAAAACAAAAAGCAAACGAAAAATGTAAGTGTGACATTAGGCAGAGGAACCAAGCATGCACGCTCATTTTAGATCCAGTAACAAATTCTGTATCTGTGTCACTGCAGTGTTTCACTAAGGCTAAGTACCTCTGATCACAGTTGAATCATTAAGGTTGGAAAAGATGTCTAAGTCATCTAGCTCAACCATTGTATAATCAAAGAATATTAGGATGTTATAATCACAAAATAAACAAGAAAGTTAGGCAAAGCAGACTATGATGACAAAAGGGAATAAATAGAAGGCTTACCCCTATCCTGGGCTCACTCACAAAACACCAGCAGAGGTGACCTCCAGAAAAGACCCTTCCCCAATGGTAGCCAGCTCTTAAATAGGTCTAGGAGGGGTGGAGCCAGGCTCCAGCTCTTCTGGCAGCACAGGTGAATTGCCCTCAGCTGTGCTCCTCTGGCTGGCTCATTGCTTGCCTCAGGTGATCAATTGGAGGTTCGGGCTGTGACTCTGCAGTTCCCATACAACCATCAACCCATCCCCACCACGCTGAATTACCTACATCCCCAATGCTACACTGCTTTGAGAGAAGGAAAATCTCTCTGTGCAGCACCATGTTGTACCCTCCAGGTGTGCAAGGATCGATCCCAGCTTTCACCACAGCAAAAGCATGTCCACAACACACACCCTCCTCTGCCATAACATCAGTCCTAGCACTACAGAAAAGTGGAGAGAAACCCCAGACTCAGCATAATGGTGATTAACATGCCAAACCAGACTTGCACAACAAAAGAAAGGGCACTTGTGCCAAGTCTGCAGAAGGCAAAAGGCCTTTCCAATTCTTGCCGTTGGCAGTTAACTGAGATCTGAATCTGGCCCAGGTGTTTAATTTCTCAAAGGTGTTCTCCCCATCTTCAACATGATGACATTAGGAAATAATTTTTTCACCAAGGGAGTGACCAAGCACTGGAACTGGCATCCCAGAGAAGTGCTGGAGAACCATCTCTGGAACTAATTAAGGGACATATGGATGTGATTTTGTGATGGGACTCAGCAGATAAGTTGCTGGTTGGATTTGATGACCTAAAAGTCTTTTCCAACTGAACAATACTAAGTGGGGCAGACTGTGCATATTCTGTGTTGCAACCAAACTAAAACAGAAACATTAAATGTCCCATGTGTGTTAGCATCCTGGAGCAGCGTCAGACTTGTCTCAGGAGAGGTGACTCAGATAATCACAGTTCCTCTGTCAGTGAACTGCAGTTTCATGACATTGCAGAAAATCGGACGAAATTCTCCCTTCAGTGAGACAGTAAAAACCTCATGATTCTGAAGTGCCCCGAGTTGTGTGAGTGAGAAGTGCTAAGTGTATTATTATTACTCTTCACAGCCATCAATCATCTACCTTTCAGCAGCATAAACATTCAGTCCAAGCTAAATCTCAGCAGAATTGCTCCGGAATAGGTCAAGCTACATAATGAGTATTCTCTCTTTCAGGACTGATGGGCTGATACAACACATACGAGTCCTAGCTCAGCATGCTGCTCTGCTGATGCTTCCTCACGTACCCAATTATACTCTTGTATTTGTTAATGTTACATGAAAAATCTTTACAATTACAGTAAATCACCCACTATGAATCCTGCAGCTGAAGTTTTTTAATGAACATTCATTATAGGAAGAAAACATCTCCTCAGGCAAAACCATGGGGGAAAAAATAGTTTTATGGCACATGAAATTCTGGCTTTCCTTGTCTAGTATAATTTACTTAGTATACTTAGCCAAGATGCAGCTCTTACATACACAAAATGCAGATGTTTAGCCTCCACCCAATCGATTGGTAAGTGGGAAAATAAGCAGTGTCACTAAGATTCTGGTTTCATTACAGCAGCCAAAACATCATCAGAGCGTGGCCATTTGCAAGTGTCATAGCAAGCTTAGCTGGCATCACTCATGGCTGAAGTGAACCATAGGGAAAGGATTCATTTTGGTGCTTTGAGTCACCAATAAGCCCAAGAGCCACTGAAATACATTTATGCCAAAAACACACCTTGTTCTATAATCTCAGCTAATTTAAGAGTATAGGTTTCCTTTAAATAATTTCTGAGGCATCTTCCCCACAGGACTCATCACCATTGATGGAGATGTCTGCATTGCTGGCGTTAAGAGGGTGAGACCTCCCAAGCAGACTTCCTTCCAACTGCTGTGAATAACCGGACTTTTATTTGTGGTCTCTGAAAATCATCTTGTTCTGAGTCCTTCTAATTAGCTTCAGCAGTGGCTGAGAAATTATTTATGATAAGAGCAACCGTGCTTGCATTAAGAAGGTGAATTAGAAACTTATAATTCACACCAGGACGCAGTGGGGTGCGAAGGAGAGCAGAACCAGGACACAGTTTGCAAAGCTTTTCATTGCAAAGCAAGCTGAGCAATCAACACCGATGATACCACCGTTTCATCTCTGACGGTAATGCAATAACAAGGCACCAGGCCTTCTGTCTCTTTTTGCCAAAGCACAGCTCTGCTACTCCCTGGGAAAGCATAAAGAGCCAAAATACAAGTGCATCAATGTTGCTTGTACTGAAATTTAGTCGAAATTGGGAAAG